CTGCCGTTGAACTGCTCATTGGCATATTCACGCCATGTGCATCTTCTCTTTTCACTGTTTTTCTCCTTCCACCGGGTAGACCATTTGGCGCGCAACGGTGTCTTCGCCGTTTCAGTTGCCATTTGGCTGCTCTCACGATTGAGAAGGCAGCAACAGCAGCAATTTTTTGCTTGAAACTGACTTGAGTGTTTGTACTTCACGTATTGTGCATCTCCTCGGTGCATCAGTGGCATCAACAGCAGCTTTGACTGGCAATTAATTCGACTTCCTGTGCTTGTCTCCTGTAATTATGTTATTTGGATGCTTCCAGACATCACTGCCGTCGTCAATTGATTGTGAATGGACCACTGCAGAGGACAGATGAAGAGGAGCTGTGGACTGCTGAAATGTGCGGTTGATGTGCGCTTGGTGATGGTGATGGTAATGGTGATGGCGACGTTTGTCCTCCTCGCGTGCTCTGTGTCTGTGCCAATTTCACCTAGGGACTTCACCTAGGACCTAATATTATACTACCAAAACTCACTTGTGATACTCAATCAGCTACTTTTTAATCACCTTTTTAATACAAATCAAAAACTGAAGCAAAAGCAACAGCAGTAATTTGCTGTGCTTCTCATCTATTTCCCCACCGACGCCAGCACTACAGTTTCTTTGCAAAAAATGTAAGTTGTACTGTTTTTATCTTGATTTTTGTTTTTTTATTGCAGTTTAATGACATAGTAATGTTCACAACTTAAAAGACGATTTTTCAAGCAATNCTATTTCCCCACCGACGCCAGCACTACAGTTTCTTTGCAAAAAATGTAAGTTGTACTGTTTTTATTTTGATTTTGGTTTTTTATTGCAGTTTAATGACATAGTAATGTTCACAACTTAAAAGACAATTTTTCAAGCAATTGAGTACACGTGATCGGTGACCATTAGGACGAGTGGCCGCAAGTGAGAAAAAGAGAGGGCATTACAATTACACCTTTTCACATTTTTTTGCAAGAGCAAATTGTTTGTCGCAATTGTTGTTGAATACATAGACACAAAGCCCTGGGAAATGACCGAGATTTAGATAGTAAAGAAAAAAAAGTTTTGTGCCGTTTGTACGACAACTCGTTAGGCAAACACAAAAGTGCTATTGTCATTAGTGGTGATAGAAAAAGATGAGTTTTTTCACAAAAAGGCAGACAAACGAGCAATTGGGCAAATTTTTTTTGTCTGTCTGAGAGTTCGATAGACATGGGAAAAAATCTAAGAGAGCAACAGGTGTCCGTTTGTGCCGGCTGCATCACAAGCAAACAACAACTTTAACGTTTTTTGACAACTTAGTGACAGCCACTTGATGCCCATTTAGACTATGTTTGGACAATTGACTTGAAGAGGGGCCACCGGTTTTGCCGCATTGGCACTGCACATTTCTTTTTACCTCTTTTTGCTCTCAACTCATCATCTGCCGTCTGCTCTTCTTTCCTCCCTTCCTCATTTAGGCTCATCAGGCAAACAGGCGTTCAGACACTGCTTCTGCAGTTCACCCTCTTCTTGTGGACAAGTAGCGACCACGGCCGAACAAGTGCCGTCAACTGTCGGCAGTATCAGACGTACGGTGGCGATAGTAACTACCGCAGCAACGGCAACTACGAGAACAGTTTTGACAATGACGAATACAGCTATAACCAAAATAGTAATAACAACAACAACCACAACAACAACAACAGACACAACAGCTATGACAACAACAGAATTAATAACGATAGGGACAGTTATTACACTTTCAATGACAAAAATGGAAAAGGAGGTGGCGGAAGAAGACAGGACTGCGCGCTCATTCTTCGGCGAATGATGCCCAGTCTCAATGACGTCGGCAAAAGCTACGCGCCCTCCTTCAAGGCAATGCTTGAGGCGCTCAGAGGCGGCAGAAGCAGGGCCAATTCTCATGCACTGTAAGAGCTGTCATTATTTTGATTCTAGATTACAACTTACCTAGGCTGACACTTGATCACTTCACTTCATTTCACTACTAGTGATTACTACTACTACGACAACAATGCCGAACAGCAGCAGGAAGAGCAAGAGCTGGGCGAGGTTTGTCTGTCGTACCGGGCTGTGGACGAGGCAATCGAGGAGGCGATGAGGACGCTGCGGTACAGCAGACCGGCGGACATTGACTCGCTGGAGCCTCAGCCGGAGTCGATCGGCCAGACAGCGGAAGTCATCCAGCTGACGACACGGCTGCTCGCCAGGCGTTTTCGACTCTCTCACGATGAGATACTCAACGGCCTGCCGCTGGTGGACATGTCGAGGACTACCTTCTGGCGGCACTGTCCGGCACATGTGAAGCCGATGCAGTGTCGGGTGCAGCGGTATCGCACGCTCACTGGGCACTGCAACAATCTGGAGAATCCGAGCTGGGGCGCTGCAAATACTGCTTTTGTGCGCTACCTGCCGCCCGTTTATTCTGATGGTAGCTTAGTCAATCGTTTACAAAAACATGAAAATTAATCTCTTTTGTTGCACCAGGAATCGACGGATTGAGGCAGTCAGTGGTAAAAGGGAAACAGCTACCGCACGCTCGACTGGTCATTCGCAGCGTCCACCGAGACCAGGATCACCCCTCTACTGACATGACCATCATGTTCATGAGTTGGGGCCAGTTTATCGATCACGACGTGGCGCTGGCAATGCCACCTAGATGTAAGCATTAAACCTGTTTTCTCTCAAACCCAAACTGACCAAACAGATTTTCCTACCACTCCTACTAGTCTTCATCAGAGGCAAGGAGACGGAAATCGACTGCTGCAAACTAGAGCCAGGTCAGTCGCACCCGCTGTGCATGCCCTTTCCCATTCCCCCCGGTGACCCGGTGTACGGGCCACTGGGACGTGAGTGTCACGACTTTAAGCGCTCCATCGCCGGCCACCGACCAAACTGCGCCCTGGGACCGCGAGTGCACGTCAACATACTGACGAGTCACATTGACGCCAATTTCATCTACGGCAGCACAGAGGCGGTGGCTCGTCGACTGCGCACCTTCTCTGGCGGCCAGCTCAAGTCGTGGAACCGCTTCTCCCGGGAAGGTCTCAAACCGCTGCTCCCTCCTGAAGACGACAACCCCGACCTGGAGTGCACCAATCGACCGCGCAATCTCTTCTGCTTTCTCGCCGGCGACACTCGGGTCAATGAGCAGATTCACCTGACGGTGCTGCACACGTTGTACATGCGTGATCACAATCGAATGGCCGCCCAGCTGGCCGAGCTCAATCCGCACTGGGACGACGAGCGACTGTACCAGGAGACGAGACACATCATGGCCGCCGCTGTTCAGCACATTACACTCAATGGTAAGCGATGGATGAGCTTGAAAGTATGTACTTTTGATAGTAATAAACCTTTCTACTACTTCAAACGCTTAGAATTTCTGCCCATGCTACTTGGTAAGCGGGTAGTTGCAGAGAACAATTTGACCGAAACAGAGGGCTACTGGTACGGCTACGACCCGAATGCGCACACCAGTCCTTCGCAGGCCTTCACCACGGCTGCCTTTCGCTACGGGCACACCTTCATTCAGGGCAAGGTGATGCGATATGGAAGACATCATCAGTTTTTGGGCGCACACTCACTTCGTTTCCTCCTCCGCCACCCCTTCATCATCTATGAGCCGGGACGGATAGATGAGCTGGCCATGGGCCTGGTGGACACGCCCTCGCAGACCTATGACCCCTTCATCTCGAAGGAGGTGGCAGGCCACCTCTTTCAGGAGCCCTGGGACCACGTTGGACTTGACCTGCCGTCCATTAATCTGATGAGGGGCAGGGAGCAGGGCACGCCGGGCTACAACTTTTACCGCGAGTGGTGCGGCATGCGACGTGCGGAGACCTTTGAGGAGCTCATTCCTTGGGTGGGCAATCACACCGCCTACCTCTACTCCACACTGTACGCCCACCCGGATGACATTGACCTGTGGAGTGGCGGCATCTCCGAGGAGAAGATGCCCGGCGCCCTCGTCGGACCCACCTTTGGCTGCATCATTGCGCGAAACTTTGCCAACATTCGCAAAGGGGACCGCTTCTGGTTTGAGAATCCCGGTTTCCCCTCCTCATTCACGCTGCCGCAACTGAGGGAGATTCGCAAGGCGACGCAATCGAAGATTCTCTGCGACAATGGCGATCGCATTTTGACCATTCAGCGGTGGGCGCTGCGACAGGCGCATCCGATTCAGTGAGTAAACAAAATCAGTTGATGATTTAATCAATGAATGAATGAATGGCCTTGTTTGATTTGATTTTCCTAAAAGTTATTTGGTTTTCTGAGCTTATCACTAACATACGCACACAAACAATTTCTTTTCTTCTTTTTTCCACCAGCAATCCGCGCGTTCCCTGTGAACAGATACCGTCGATTGATTTGCGTGTCTTTAAGGAGGATCCCGACAGTGGAGGCTTTGGTGATCAAAACTATGGCAATGGCGGCAGTGGTACAAATGCGATCGACTACAGATAAGATGTGAAGAGGAAGATGGTCAACAAGTTTGCGGTGATGTACAAATCGTATGATAGTGAGTGTCCACAGCGTTTGCCATAAACAGTGAAAAGATGATGTGCTCAAAAGAAAAACACAAACTTGAACTCTGCTCAATCACAATAAAGCAAAACAAGCGAGCTTGTAAATTGTACAAAGTACCCTTTTAGCGACAAACAACTGATAACGTGTAAATGTGCAGAGAGGAATAATTGTGCGTAATCACCACTTCAGCGCTGACTTGACACTGACTGACAGAATTGGCAATGAAAACTGAGCGTCAGATGGGCAACATCAAAACGCTGGTAGTGATAATGAAATCAGTGAGTGTGAGGTGCTTGGTGACTATTGATTGGTACGCGAGAAAAAGCGAACCTTGGAATAATACTGCTGTCGTCGTCGCAGAGGCAGCATCCATATCTCACCTTGAACAGAGGGCAAGGTCTCGGCTACTGTTGCTGCTGCAGCTTGCATCTCACACCACCGACGCAATCACTTGGATTTTGATTTAGTGCTATACTGCCAACCTCTCTCTACATGTACATTGCTTCATTCAACCACTGGCACATCTCAGGAAGAAGAAGAAGGCACAGAGTGGTCAGTAGAGCTGGCTGCACAGTGTGGGAGAGGGTGGAGAATCGAGCCAAGTCACTTGACCATTATCACTTTATTACCATTTTTATGCCTTTTCACTCCACCACTTATCAATTTGTTCTCACCATGTGCAGGCACTTTTTGATACTTTGTGAAGATGACCGTGTGGCGTGTGTGTGTGTGTGCTCGTGGTGGAGCTATCTGCACATTTGGCTGCGTCTGTCTGCCTGCTTGCCAATCTTCGATTGCACAAAGCAAGCGAGGACGTGAAGCGGCTGTAGTAGTAGTAGTCGCATCCGACGTCGTTTGGCACTGGTTGCTTCCAGCAGGAGGGTTCAAAGGAGCGCGCCAAAGTGCGTAACAACGTGTGTTTGTCTGTCTGTCTGCCTCCGTGTGTAAGACATTACCAATTAGCGAACAGGATCTAACTGATACCACTGACTGACTGACAGACGCTTACTGATTGACTGAATGACTGAATAAAAGTTTTGGTAGAAAAGGAGCAAGAGGGAGCGGGAGAGATGAGCATCCACTCAGTCGGCTGAAGACTGAACAATTGTCTAATTTCACTACCTCTAAATGAAAGTTATTGGCTCAACACTTCGATCACCGGCAACTGCTATGTTTGACATCTTCTGACAATTTTGTCCTATTTAGTCTTACTTATTTAATTTAAACCTACTCAAATCAATCATGACCAGCTCAACAGGTGGCCGTTCACATTTTCACTCCACATTTCTTCTCTTTATCATCTACTTCTTTTTCACCCTTTCCACTATTTTACTGCATTCGAGTACCTCACTGGTGCAAAGCTCCGACACAACAATGAACAAGCCAATTGGCGGTGCTATCGGCGGCTCCGGAAACTACTGCAAGATTCCTTGTTTTAAGGAGCGATTCGACCTGGGTCGTGACTGCGTGGAGGCGCCGGGCGCCAAGTGCCAGTGCGTCGCCCATTGCTGCTGGGCATTTGACTGTCGAATGTGGCCGATCTTTGCGAACTGTCGCAAGAAGTGCCGCGTTCAGGAGTGGAGTCGATTCGGCTTCAACAAGGGCCCCGCACAGTGTGACCACTTTCGCTGCATGGAGACTCACCTCATTCCCTACGACCTGCGCAACGCCACCGAACCAAAGGTGATCAACTGCATTCAGCACTGCTGCTACGCCTTCAACTGCAAGCGCTTTGCCGGATACTGTCGAGATCAGTGCATGCTGGGCAGACAAAGTCAAATGTACGCTGACTGAGAAGAGTGCAAGTGCAAGTTCAATGTCGCCAAATTTGATGCCAAAGGAGAGGCATATGTTGCTTCCCACCATCGCCAAAATGTTTACCAAACTCATCATCATCATACACTGTCAACTTTTTCATTTCTGCACACATCATTGTCACTTATGCCAAATAGTAAACAAAACGGCAGTAATTAGAGCTCGTAAAAATGAAGTCATTGTTGTGATATTAAGGCTAAGACAGACTTATTGAAAGGGGAGAAAACCCAACATAAAAATGCTTCCGAGTGTTCTGCCAGCACCAGCATTGTCTCACTTTGCAAAGCTAGTGACACAGTGCAAATCAGCAACCGCACTTCTTTCTCCTTGCATCACTGGCTTTCACTAGCATTGCATTTCATTGCCCTCATCATCTTTTTCTTTTTTACGCTTTGCTGCCTGCTGCGTTCAGCTCAACCAGGGCAGTCACACTTTCTCCTGATTTTGTTCAACTTTCAAGTTTCAGTCACTGGCGCTGCAACGTCAGACAGTAATTAAATACGTAAATCAGTCAGTAGTACTCAAGAACATTGCCACTGCTGCTGCTAAGAATCAGGCAGTGCACTTTGAGTGCACTTTTTTCAATCAATCAAAAAGACAGACAGACAATCACATCACACACCAGGTGCATCTCAATTACAATGACTTGGGGTGGTAGGTGTTCACAGTGTGCATCGGCAGCTCCCTCACTTTCACTGTGCGTCAATACACCTCTTTGCAATGCAAATACGCCGGTGCACTGCCACTAGACGGACAAAGACGGAGTGTTGTATGGGGTTGCAGCAGTACAGCCCTACCAATGATAAGAGCGCAAACAAACTGCACGCACTTGATAAGGCGATGCTGATTGGAAATGGTGGTCGGAGGAGAAGAGTGTGGAGGGGGACTGGTCGATCAAAAGACCGTTTGGTAATGAGCTGCTGCTGCTGCTGTCGATCAAAAAGGCCCATCAGGGGCACACTTTTCGCCTGATGGATAAAAATATGCGTCACTAGGGAGGTGCATCCCCTCCTACTTCTCTTGCTGCTTCTTCTGTTGCTGTTCATGAGAGCAGTCGTGCTGGTGACTTATCGCGATTGTACTACCGGTAGTCGAAGAAGAAGAAGAAGAAAAGGAAAAGATACGACATGAGGAAAGGCAGGAGCGCCCCCTGTGGACCACCTCTGAGAAACGCATGCTGTCTTGCTGTGTTGATGTTTTCCTCTTTTCTCTCTTTTTTTCCCTCTGTAGTTTGCTGGCGTAGCAGGCAGTCAAGTCAGTCAGGCAGACAATCACTCCTTTTCATCTCATTTTTCTTGCAATCGTTTACCGATTATCTGTCCGCTGTTACGCCGACTACTACCACGATCATCAGCATCACCGCCTCCTTCTTTCTCTGCCAGAAATCCACTACTAGATGTCGATGGTCCATGGACGCGGTACCAGCCGTTCTCAGCTCAGCCGTCGTCGACCATCGTGATCACCAGCATCACCGCCACCACCACCACCACCGCCGCCTCCGTTGCGGTCGATTACACTTGTGGCCATGTTCACAGTGCAGTGCCAATGTACGACAACGACGACAACAGCAACAACGACGACAACAAAGACAACAACAGCAGCCAGTCTGGGCGACCGACAGTCGGCGTACGATTCGGCCGTCGAGGACAGCTACTGCGATGGCTACCAGGCGGACACTGAAGACCAGTGGGCGTGTGGGGAAGTGGGCAGTGGCAGCAGTCACAGCAGGAATAATAAGAACAACAGCACAAATACCAACACCAACAACAACAGGCATACCAGAAGATCTAGTCACTCGTGTGAGCAGCATTCAGGCGCAGCTGAGCCGACCATTGGCAGTTTCAGCTGGCGGTGGCAGTTGCCATCAACGGCGGTCGCATCTTCGAAGGCGGCGGAAAGACAGTCACTGTCACTCTTTGAGCAGATTGACCTTTGCCGAGCTGCGGTGACCCGAGCTGCAAATGCTGCAAAGGACACTACTGAGGGGACTCACTCGAGTGAGAGCAGTCTGGCCATCATCAACTCACTGGCGAGAAGCTGTCGTGAGAACAGCGAAAACAGTCGCATCCTCTTTGAGAATGAGTTTACCACACTACTTACCACCTCCTTCAGTGAGCTACTCCTCAGCAGCAGCGTCAACGACAAAGCCCTCAGGTTGGCCGTCTTTGATCTGCTCGAGGAGCTGTGCAAAGTGCGCGTCAGGTCAACCGAGTTACGCCTACTGCTGAACCTCTTCAAGGCAGACACTGCCGACCTGGACTTTCTCCTCAGCACTACCAATAAGATACTTTTTCCAAAGTGGCAGCAACAGTCGGAGGCCAATCAGCCGCAGTACTCTGTTCGCTTTCCGGTGCAGTCATTCCGAGTCGATTCCGCCATAGCCCATGCAAACCTGGCCAAAAATAATGTCCCTTCTGCTGTCAACAGCTTACGGCCGAAGAAGATGCTCTGGCTGGACACCATCATGGGCAATATACGCACACACGGCGCAGAGAGAGCTTCATCGGGGACGGGGGCAAGGTCGGTGGCGGCGGCATTGTCCTCCTCCTCTGCCGAGCAACAGCATCAGATGGCCTTCAAGACGGCCGCCATCGCACTGCCCTTTCACTCTGCGCACATCACCAACTTTCACTACGCCTTTGTAGTGTGGATCTACCTCGACCGGATCAGTCCACTGATCGACAAGTACCGTGCCTTCTCCAGCAGTGGCACCTCCATTAAATCACAGGTGCAACAGCTGCTTCCTCCACCGAAGATCTTTTCCTCCCACCACTTCGAGTATGGCTCGATGACCGAGTCAACCGCCGCAGCTTCTGCCGCCCCTTCAGCCTCGGCCTCAGCAGCGGCAGCAGCCGCCCAGTGCATTCACATCACCTCACTGAACTTCAACTCGAGCACCGTGGAACTATGGTTCGACTACGTCTACAATCGTTTCGTTTACCGCATCTGCAAGGAAAATGGCGGGCGGCTAATCTACTTCAACGAGAACTTTGTCGCCAACAGCTCCGCCAATCTCGGTCGTTGGAACTTTCTGCGCGTCAATGTGGAGCAGATTGTCGTGCCGAAGGCTCGCAACAGCGTCCTCAAGATTGCCCACAGTACAAACTGCTCAAAAGACGAGA